ACAACGCCTTAACCCAACCAAATGGGTGAATTTGATAGTTGGAATAGTCATGGGCTGTGCTATATTACCGACACATTTTGTACTGGCTGGCTATGGAAATTCTGCTTAGCGCAGCTGGTGGTGCAAAAGTCTCACTTGAAAAGGGAGTTCACATGCCCTCAGTAAAGGCCCTCATGGATGACACCACGGTGCTGACAAATTCTGCGATGACCTGCCACCAAACGTTAAAAAATTTGGATGAGTTGATGTGTTGGTGGAAAATGAATTCCAAAACGAAAAAATGAAGAAGGTTGTCACTGACTAGAGGAAAACTGGATCCCTACACAAATTTTACTATTTCCGGTAAAGCCAGTCTGAAAGACGTTGATGAAATTGGAAAAGTAGAAGACAATTGCTCAAAATATTTGGAAATTGTCAGCAAAGTGGGACTTCAAGAAAAATTCAAAGATTGTTGGTGGTGGTACCAAAACTTCTATGGCATCTAACAGTTTATGAAGTCAGTTTACCCATAGTAGAGAGCCTGTGTATGTATGTATTTATGTATGTGTGTGTGTATGTATGTATGTATGATTTTATGTATGTATGTATGTGTATGTATGTATGTATGTGTATGTGTGTGTGTGTTTGCGTGTTTTTGTATCAATATAGCTATATACATACAGACATATACCATATAGAAACACGATAAATAGATATACGCGGATGTGAAACAGACTGTCAAGGATACAATTTAAGTGAAGCGCTACATATATTAACTATTATTATTATCATTGTTATTATTTTTATCTCTTATTATTATTGTTGTTGTTGTTGTAGATTTGTTGTATATTATAATTAATAATGTTGTATATGTTGTATGTGTATGTTAATTATGTTAATTATGTACTGAGAATTATTTAGCGTTATCAGGTTACTCATATTTTTATCAACACGTGAGAAACGAGTATATGATAATGATGATGATGACGATGATGGTGATGATAATGATGACCCAGATGGTAATGATTTTGGTACCGATAATGATGATGATAGTAATAGTGATGATGATGATGATGGTGATGATGCTGGTAAAATTTTGACGGACGATTCAGTTGGAGTAACTAAAGTTGCGAATGGTGGTGAATGTGGTGATAACAACGATGATGATAATGATGTTGATGATGATGATGATATTGATGATGATGTTGATGATGAAGGTGATGGAAATGATGATAACAATGACGATGAAAATAAAACTGGAGTGAGAAAATACGTCAAATTTTTTGATATCGTTTGCCAGAATGATAGCATGTATCGTAACGAAGATGTAAACGGTGATGAAACAACTAACAACAACAAAAATGATGATGGTGATGACGACACTACTGACGATGGTGTTGATAGCATTAGCGATGACGTCATATTCCCAACAGATGTTCTGACGGCAGCCACAGACGTTTCCACAGTAGCTTGGCCAGCTACATTGGCAACAGCAATACAAATCAAACCAATGATAACAATCCTTGAAAACAACAACGACAACGACGACGACGACGACGACGACGATGATGGCAACATGAATCTACCATCGTCACTGACGTCATCACCATCGTCATTTTTCCTCCTGCTGTTTAACGTTTTTCCGGAAATGAAATCAATCTCCAGTGTTTCCCTGTGTCGTTTAACTGAATCGCCGGCCGCTGCAGCTGCCGGTAGCTGCGGTTGCCTGTGTGTCCACCTTTGTGGCTGCCCCACTCTGCGACTGTTTATGTTGCGACCGCTACTGCTGTGGTTCGATGACGTCAGCAATGACGATGAGGAGGAGGAGGAGGAGGAAGAAGAAGAAGAGGATGATGAAGGCGATGATTTGTTGATTATTTTGTATTTGGTGTGACTGGTGTGTTTGAAATTTTTACTTTCATCATAATCGTCGTTTGAGTTGGTTTTCTCGTTTTTGTTGTTGCCGTATTGGTGGAAATTATTGTTCTTATTATTATTGTTGTTGTTTTTATTTTTGACAAAACTATAATCAATATCAACAATTTCGTCACCGTTGACGTCATTAGCATCATCGTCGTCGTCATCATCGTCATCATCGTCGCCGTCATCGCTTGAATCTGTCGTCCCCCAGTTAAAGTTAGAATTTGTTATATCGTAATTATCATCGTCATCATCGTCATCATCGTCATCATCGTCATCATCATTCACGGTGTCGTCGTCATCATCAAATATTTCATCGCCATCGTTATCGCTGACGTCATCGTCATCGTTGAGAAAAATTTTCGGGACGGAAAATGTCGTTGGATTGTTACTATTGCTATTGTTTTTATTGTTGTGATTGTTATTGTTATGGATGTTATTGTTTTTGTTGTTGTTGTTTACATGATTTGTGTTGATGTAAGAAGAGTCATCATAGTCGTAATCTTCATCATCGTCGTCGTCATCATCCTGATTGCCGTTATTTTTGTCGTTATTATTTTCATTTTTGTTGTTGTTTATAATTTTTACATTATTCATGGTAGTGTTTTGTTTGTTGATGTTGTTGTCTTCGTGTTTGTTTATAACATCATTGTTGTTGTTGTGGTTGTTCGACGATGGATAGAGTTTATACGTCGGCATATTGTTGTTGTTCTGCTGTTGCTGTGACGTAGATAAAAATTGTGGTTGATTGTTGATGACGTTGTCCTCATTGTTGTTGTTATGTATTAAGTTGAGCAAACTATCTATGGTCTTTGGGCTATTGGAGTGGTTAATGTCATTTTTGTTAGTGTTTCCTCTGTTGATATTATTGTTATTATTATTATTATTATTGCTTTCTTTGTTGTTTATCGTCGTTATAACTCGTTTATCATTTAAGATGAAATCTATGTTATTATTATTATTTCTATTATTATTATTGTTGTTGTTGTTCGTGTGAATGTGGTACTGCGAGAAAGATGATTTACAGTCACCTGAACAGAAAAAATTATTTTAATATTTTGGTAAATATTTTTCAAATTTAAAACTAATAATAAATTAACTAGAAATAAGTTTCACTTTGTTTGACAAAGAGACGATTTGATAGGTCAATGTCGATCACGTGAGTGTCTTTGTTACACGATTGGTCAAGCTCCATGGTCAGCGGATGGTTGTCTAGGTTGTAACTCTAGTGAATGGAAATTAATTTTAAATAACCCAACGATAGGTTTATATTTATATAGCGCGATTTTTAAAATTCAAACAGTACAATACATAAATGTCCTAGAAATTGAAATTAATAGCAGCAGCAGCAACTACAGCAACTACAGCAACGACAACAACTCAAAAATAGAACTAACGAAACAGTAGTTCATCTTTGTGGCATTGACTTCCCTGGCTATTGAGACGAGCTTATCGTCTTCCTGCCATGAGGCAAAACACGCCATGAAAATTGTTTGAGCTGTGTGTGGTTGGTTTGTTGATTAATTGGTTAATTAATTGGCTCATTAATTGGTTAATTGATTGATGAATCAGATGAATGAATGATTGATTGATCGATTGATTGAGTGATTGGTTGGCTGATGGTTATGTTGTTGAGTGATTGTTGTATTTGAAGTTTTTTTTTCTATTATTCATTAAAAAAACAGATTCTGATAAACGCAGAAACTGTTGCAGCATGCAACGCAATAGTACAAAATGATAAATATGCTTAAACATGATTGATAAGAAAAAAGAATAGACAAAATTGAGTACAGGACAGAGTTTTATTGTGCTAATATAGTAAAATAGACATCGCACTTTTCAATTGTGAATTTAACTTGGAAAAAGTTTTAAATGGATCAAAGTTTTCGAAAGAAATCTCTACCCTCTTGTCCTTTGCAGTTGACGACATGCAACTCAATAACTCTGGCGTCTGAACAACCAACCACAAATTTCAAAGAACAAATCTTCGTCGAGAGCACATCATTCAACCTATTTGAATTGGCATCAATTGTGGTAGTAGCTGTTGCTGCTACTGCTGCAACTGTTGTCGGATGAGAAAGTGAAGATGGCGTTGATGTCTTCAGTTGTGGATGTGACGTGTAGAGGTAGGTGCCTGGCATGGAGCAGATGGAAGCTGGTGCGTGGCTTGCTGTGGAGGAAGATGGTGAGGATGAAGAAGAGAAGGATGATGATGATGGGAGAGATGATGATAATGGGGAAGAGGATGGTTGAGATAGTGAGGTAAGTTCCAGGCCAACTTCGGCTGAAAATTCAAATTAATTTGTTTCAAATTGGTTGTTAAAATCATTTAAATGAATGCTAATTTAATGAGGTAGGATAAAATTTTTTGAAAAAAAAAAATGAAATCAAACGATAAATTTTAATGAATAAAATTTTTTTAATAAATTGAATTAGTTTGTAAATGTAAGTATTCAAAGATAATCAAAAGTATTAGAGTATTCGCTGACATATAGCTCCCACGTCCAATGTGTAAGTATAAAAATAGAAAAAATATTGATGCTCCATTTGCATGTAGGTAACGCAATAATCAACCATATTCTACGTCTCGCGTAAAATATCGGTATGTCTATTTTATGAAGTACAATTACCTTCCAAGTAATAAGTTTAATTTAAATAAGTGGTATTACAAATCAATTGTTCACCTGTGTATATCTTCCTAGTACTGTCTGGAAAGACGCATCTTGACTTGGAGTCAATGTTGATTGTGCTTCCTTCATTTCAAAATAATTATTTATCATCAAATTTAAATAGAAATTAAAAATTTAAATTAAGTCCTAAAAATTATAAAGTTTTTCTGTCATTGTACGAATGAAAAAATTGAAAATCTCCAAGTTGCTAAAAATGAGGTTCAATTCTTCCTACGTCAAGTTTTGGAGATAAAAAATTGAAACATAGTATACACTGCATGCACGCATAGACTGATGAAGAATGTCTGGAATTTAGAGAACAAAAACTTAACCACTGACCTCGGATCATCTCTACAACGTTTTCAGACTTCAACCTGATTCGCAGGCATTGATATTTTGATGAACTGTTTTCAAAAAGCAAAGATGAAGTTTATAAAATAAAAATAGTTTATTTATGAAAGAGAATGTTTACTAACCAAACATGGGTGGCGTAAGTTTTTACTATGACGTCATAATCATGTTCAGTGACCTTGCTGCTCGTCTTGACCTCTAAAATTTTGCCGTCTTTTGAATGACCTTTCATCTCGTTTACGTGGTTGGCTGCCCTAAAAAGTTCGACACACCTGTATTCGCTAATCATCGTCTCTTTGACCTTCCTGGTGTAATATTCAAGGAGTGTGCCCCTTGCGTCGTCCAATCGCATCGCGTGCTTGCTATCTAGGTCACGCCATGTTACAGATTTCAACCAATCAGGGAAGAGACAGTTAGGGCCGGGCCAACCATTAGTGTCTAGATTTAAAAAATTAAATTTTGTTTTAACTTTCTGATTAGCTTTGGGAGTATTTATCATTAACAAAGTATATAAGTACGAATTTTATCTTAATATTTTTATATGATATCTTACCGTTATTTAAATATATAATACAAGTAACATTTCAATGATAATAATAATATTATTATTATTAAAGGTCAATAAATTTATTGCTTTTTAACGCTACTTTAACATATTAATGTTACTGCATCGCTAGTAACACTACTGTTATTAGTAATCAGTAGTGAGTAGGTGGGAATGAAGTAAGGGCCACTACCTTTTGTCAGCTTCAGCACGTACTGTCCTTCCCTTGAACTCCTGAGCCCTCGGCACGTTGCGTCAGCACTCATAGACATGAAGATGTTGTTGTTGTTGTTGTTTGGCGTTGTTGCTGTCTGCTGGTAGATCTGTTTATCAAGGAGTATACATTAATGGAAAATTTACAAATTTATCATCATCATTAAGGTCACTTTCATCATTGTTAACATCACCATCATCATCACTAACATCACCATCATTTTTTAACATCACAATCATCATCATTAGCATCACCATCATCATAATTAGCATCACCATCATCGTCTTGTCATAACTAACCAGACATCTGTACTGATCGCCCTTGACATTGCCCTCTGAGATTGAGGAGACCTTGGTGTAGAGGAAGTGCTCCGAACCATCTCGCCACGTCGCCAAACATTCCAACTCTAAATCTATGTGAGTGTGTGTGTGTTGTGTGTGTGTGTTTGTGTGTGGCTAGGTTTGAGTGTGTATTTGTTGGTGTGTGTTTGTATGTTTGTTTGTTTGTGTGGGTTTGTGTGTGAGAGCATGGCAGATATTTTTATCTAAATAAACTTTTTAAAAAACTTTTTAAAAAAATATTGATATCATTCAAAATTGTTTGTCAGCTACTGTTATTAATGTTAGAACAGCAAGGGTAGGATATTCTTGGCGAATACAATGTATTGAAATGTATTGTAATATGGTGATGTGATCAAATCTAATGTAGTGTAATAATGTAATCAAAAATGTAATCAAAAATATAGCATTACATTTTTTTTTAATTTGACATTTTTTTGACCTCAATTAGAATTTTTCAAAATTATTTTCAGTGGGGCCATGACCTTAAGTGACCTACATCTTTTTCAAAACTCGTCGTTGAGTTCAGTTAGTTCTGCCAGTTTAAATTTTCAATTATTCAGCAGATGATGATTATAAGACTGCATTTTAGTGTTATCTCAAACCTCTAAATCATGGGTGGGCAAACTTGTTCTCTAAATAAAAGGACGTCAGCCAGACATTATGATCAAAAAAGGAGCCACAAATCTTCTCGAAAAAATTTGCAATTTAAGTACACGTGTGGCCCTTTGAAGGTAAAATAGTTCTCCCTGCGGCCCTCACAGCAAAAAGTTTGCCCACCCTTGACCCCTGCTCTGAATTCTCAATTATTCACCAGATGATGATGAGGCTAAATGATAAAATGAGAAAAAATAGTTACTGTTATATTCAACGTTAAGTCAGCCTTACAACGTTATATATAGAGAGAAACATGATTTGACCTTCGTGCGTCTTAATAATGTTCGACCTGTTAAAACGATATTATCACAATTTTGTAGCATACCATTACTAAAGAGAAACACACACACAGAAGATTAATTTTTTCTCTAATTAGCGTAATAATCTCCAAAATGTCTCGTAATTAATTTTTACGAGATAATAAAATTTTAATCACAAGCGAGTCTCGTTCATTTAATTTAGATTTATAACATTTTCAAGAGCTGGAGGTTTAAAAAATTCAAACTCAACATCGTCACATTACTAAGATGATAAGAAAACTTTAGATGGTGAGATTGTATGGTAGAATCAAAACGCCAATAAACATTTGATATTAAATAATTTATTTAATTATTATTATTATTATTATTTATTCAAATATTAAAACAAGCGTCTGTAAAATTCTTTCATGTTTAGTAGTGGTAGTTATCCATACGAGCAAATGTTACCCCATTAAAACGAACATTACTTCGATATATGCGATTCTTTGATACTGTATATTAGAGTGTATTTACTTTCTTCACACATCAAAGTGGTGTAGTTCCATTTAATTTTAATCATGTAATAAAG